CCCCAAAACCCCAAAACCCCAAAACCCCAGCAGAAAAGATAAGTGTTTAATTAGAGTAAAAAATGCAAGATAATTATAAATTTGAAATAAATTATTTCTGACTTTATTAAAGCTAATGGAAATTAATCGCTAAGCAAATAAGACAATAGCAACTTTTGAAGATGCATTTCCGCAATATGTATGACTATCTAATCCATCTACTTCTCAAAATACAACTCTACCACTCCAATTACTTAACAATTCCTTTATTGTATTCAAATCTTAATATATTTTTTTATAGAATGGCCCAATGCGATTGTTTGGAACTCTAAAAAAGAAATAAAAAGGGGGCTTGGGTAAACTATTGCAAAAATTTGAAACTAAGCAAGTCGATTTAAATTTGTCTACAGGAATTTTTTCATATTCAGATAAGAATGGCAACAAAATTAAATCTTTACCTTTTAGAGTAAGTATTCAAATAAAATACTCTTTTATGCTGTTTATTGATTCAAAAATGTTTGAATAAAAACTTATTTTCATCTGAATATAGGAAATAGAAAGTGTAGTAATCAGGTGTGTGAATGAGGATAATGAGTGTCCGAAGGAATTTCCATACTCATTCAGCGTAAAATCGAAGAAAAGAGAATTCTTTTTCTCATGCAAAACTAAAACTGAAAGAGATTAATGGCTTTAGTGCTTTGACATGCTTCTTGAGTTCCGTAAAATTCTTACATTCTAAGCGACTTAAAATAAAATCTCTTATTAAAATACCAATCAAGTAAATCAGTCAAGCTCATAACTTGGTAGAGCGTAGAGTACTCTTGCTAAAGAAGACGGCATGCAACCTATTGATAATGTCTAAGCTCTTCAACTTGACATGTAGCAAATTCAGGGCATCAAAGATGCAGCTCAGATCCAAGCTATGAAGTAATAGAAATTTTAAGAGTAATAATACTAAACGATGAAAGAAGAAATAGAACGTAAACGCTATTATCTATCATTAAACGATGAAAAATTGAAAAAAGAAAAAGATAAACTTGAAAGGAGTCATACTTAATAGAGAAAATCAGCAGCCAAGAAAAATTAAAAAGCAAGAGAAGATAAAAGAACTCATTCACGATAAAAAAATGGATTTTAGGATGATAATAATGGCGAGCATGAATATGATTAAGAGACAGATTCTGGTGCAGAAGATGAAAATGAAAAATACATTAATAGGAATAAATCAAGCAATGAAAAAGAAGAGGAGGAGAGGAAACTCTAGATAAGAATGAAAAAATAGTAAGAAATTAGAGAAAGAAAGGAACGACAGATTTAAATATAAGAAGAGTAAATTTAAAAGTTAAACATGAGTGATTAATAAGATTAGACCCAAGAAGCATCTAAATATAAAGATAAAGAGGATGTAAAGCTAAGGCAACAAGAATCCTAAAATGCAGGTCCTCAGAAAACCCCAGCATTAGAAGGTTTTCTCAAAAAAACAGGTACTCCAAAATAAATCTTGATTAAAAGAGGCTTGAGTGGTAGCAGAGATCCTACTAATGAGAGTCTAGCTTCTGGCAGTATAATAAGTAATATAAATTAGCAATAAAATTAGAGTCAAATAAATAATCCATTTAGAGAGTCTCATTAGACAATGAAAAATATTTAGCAAACTACTATAGATAATATTCAAAACATGAATAATCTAAATATCCCTCTAGGCAAAAGAAGCCCGTAAAATATGTTTTAAAAGCAATCGCCAGTAATAAGTAAAAGTAAAATTAATTTTAACAAATAAGGCCCTGAATCAATAAATCAAACTACTATATCAATTAATCAAAATCTCAAAGAAATAAACAAGAGTCAAAGTAATACAATAAATAATGCTGAGAATAATAGCATCAATAACTAACTAGGCAAATATTAAAAGCCAGCAAACACTTCTTAAATATCCTCTAACGAAAAAAACTCAGAATCTAGAGTAGAATTGATTCCGAGAAATTCAACTCATTTACAAAATAGACAGACTCCCAAATCTATTAGATACAGCAAAAGCAGTAATAGAAAATAAAATATTATGGAAATAGAGGGTGATCCTGATGACTTAGAGGAGGAATTGCCTTTTTAAATGGGAGGAGAAAATATAATCACTGGATAGAATTAATTATAATAATTCAATGGCTAGCTGTTAGATAAGTAAACTGCAAATAATTTAAACTTGACTTCAAATAATACTGCTGTAGATGAATTTTTTAAATAATACGAAAAGGACAATAAAATGAGATAAAGCTAGCAATTGATGTTTAGCACACCTTAAATACAAAAGAAATTGAAAGAGTAAGAAATTTAGAATGGGATTTAGCACATTTTAGAGGTTAAGAATTAGGTTACCTAAGACTTTAACGAAATTATCTAGAAATAAAGAGATCAGAATTTTCTTGAGAGGATTGAAAAGAAAAGATAGGTTAATGGTAGTACTAATTAGGGTGGAGGTCCTTTGATTATAACTAAGGATAAGATAAATTTAGTTGAAGAGGCATAAAGAGAACAGGTTTAGATATAGAAACTAGAAAAGTAAAAACAGTCTGGCTGGCTAATAAACGCTGAAAAGAATTAATCTAATGGTTAGTATAACTTTAACGGAGGGTATATTGGGACACCAAAGAATAATAGCAACCTTAATTAAAATATCAATAATCTAGTGTTGGACTAGAAACATTTAATAGACTAGCAAAATGAAGATGATGACCCCGATGACTTTGATAAACCAATTATTGACTATAAATCTAAGACTCTTAACTTTAATTTAAATAATTTAAGCAATAATGGCAAAAAGAAACTGGAATAATTTGACTACAATTGGGACGATGATGAGGATCAAGAGGCTGAAACGACACATATTGGCAGTAGTGAGAAAAAGAAGTAACAAAGTAAAAATTAAGATAATAAGAATAAAAAACCTGTAAACTTAGTAAAAGATTTCCGCAGTAGCAGGCAAGTGGTTATCTCTTCCAAAGACAATTTCAATGATCAGAATAAAAAGATCTCAAATAATAGCAACAATGTAAATCCCTTAGGCAAGTAGGATGATTCATTCGAGGAGGTTTGGGATTGAATTTTAAAAGTTATACTTTGTAAAGCTTTTTATAAAATGAATAATGAATGCATAATAGTTTTAAGTGAAATTTTATTGCAAAAGATAGATTGAAACTTAATAAAATCTTATCTTTAATTTTTCAATTTACCTAATCATTTATAGATTTAGCATAAAGGGGTTTTGGGGTTTTGGGGT